AGTTATGACCGCAAAAACCTTGTTGATTAAGGACTTTTGGAAGTGTCAGATACAAGTTATGCATTCAATTACACTACATACACCGGTATGGACGCATGTGAGAAAAGTTACATGAAAAGTAGAGGACTGACTCTTGGGGTCGAAGATAATTAGGGAAAGGAGGTCCATATCCAGACACATTTTCCCTGCTAACTTTGACTTTTTGGGGAAATTTTATCACTTTTTGATAGGTACATGTTATAAACCACTGCACAGAAAACAAGTGATGACCGTATACAGAACTCTTCCCCACAGGTAGCCTATTTAGGGATTAATAACGGAGAGAGTTTCATATACAGACAGCACTTGAAGCCTTTTGCACAAACCTATGAAACATGTCTGAAAAAAGGCCAAAGAGTTTTCTAAGTACCATGAAAATACTTCGTAATTTTCTTAGCCATATTTCACATTGTAGGACATGTTATCACTATCTAAAGGCTGTTATAATAATTTCAGGGAAAATCAGTGTTTTCCATGTATAGAACACTTTCATTAACCCTAACAGTCCCAAATCCCCCGATTTCAATATTATTTTACATACACCCTCGGGGGTTAGGGTTAAAAACTACACTTAGGGCCTACATGATTTTTAAAAATGCACCCAGTGATGAATATTTCATTCTGCGTTAAAATGCACCCAGTAATCATGTTTCATTCCGTGTTATATATAAGAACATGATGTGCTCACATTTCTGGATCTTGGTTGTTCACAAGCTTTTTCGCAAATACTGCATAGGTGATTTTACACAACGGTAGAAAGGCATTGTGGGAAGGAAACAGGAGCAAACATTGCTCCTTTTTCCTTCCCACAATGAAAAGGAAACAGGAGCAAACATTGCTCTTTTTCCTTCCCACAATGCCTTTCTACCATTGTGCAAAATTACCCATGCAGTATTTGCGGAAAAAGCTTTTTCCTTTTTTTTTTTTGCTTCAGCTAATCCTAATCAGTGTTGCTGAAATATAAATATAAATTACACGTCAGTCTACAAGACCAAGGCCAACTCTAATTGCATGAAAATTTAAAACGTGAGCAAATAAATTTTTGCTGTGCACCTGCACATGCCTACGTACCGTACACAAATTTACGAGCGTAGTCTACAGCCTATACGGTACCTCTTTTCATGAACAAGAAACCACTAACGAAGTACAGGTAGAACTGTTATTTCTGTGGTCGTTTGTGGCAGTTATATTAATGTTTGACTCTTTCCTGAAAATGTAGGTCGGTCGGCATGCCCTATTGTACAGGCCAGCTGCACTTCGGTTGGGTTGCGTGCCGTAATCACGGTCATGGTCGCATTTACCCTCGCGCGCACGGCTGTCAGGTGAGGTGCGGTTTTCGCTGGCATCAAAATCCTTTTGTTTACACATGTGCCAACACATTTTGGGCGGCCTTTTTGCAAACCTGAAGAATTACAGATTACACTTACGTGGTATGCTGGTACTGGTCAGTTCTGGAGAAGCTCCGGTCGACGAAGTAGGTTAAAATGTCGAGAATTTAGGCAAGTGTGTACACCCTAACTCGTACAAAAAAATGGTACACAGCACGCATATCTAGTGCGCTATGGTTGCGTTACGTTGACATGATGCACGTGTAACGTATCACACACGGCAGGCAAGCTCAGCAGCCGGCCTATACCATTTTACCCACTAGGGGAACCATGATTCTGCCGATCCATGGTCGACCCGACATCTGGTTCGCGTCAAATTTCAAAACAAGTAACAAGTTTTTGTTTGTTTTCCCGCATTTCTTAAATTTTGCCTCGTTTTCCAATATTACTAAGGGAAATCAACCAAGACGAAAACGTGTTTACGCCGAATCATATGAGGCCAGTCACTTCCTTGGTTGTGCACAATGTCGGACATTACACAGATAATAAAGAACATTTTCTAAGTAGTTTCAAACAAAATTAGAAATGTTTCTGACGTACCAGATCTACATGTATGCCTTTTCAACATTTTTGCAACGACTGGCTTTCATTGAATGATGATAATTATACCAAAGAGGAGGTTTGAAGATGAAACTTTAATACCCTACTTATTGACACTACAAAATGCTTTAGGCTTCCAAAGCGATTATACTTCCATGTTTTCATCCTCAAAATATGCACAGAATGTTTACAGGTTTACCTTGTGTCAGTCAGAGTGAAACATCTAAATAAATGCCCACCATGTTATTGGTGGATCTTCGATCATGTGTCATTGAATTATTCTGTATATCCAACAGTGACCGTTGAATGTAGCCGTTGAATGTAACGTTGCACAGCGAGCGCGTGCGATTCCGCGCGCGGCAGTCACTGCTCTTCACACAAAGAAAGTTTCATTTTGTTGACACAGATTGAATGCTTCATCAAATTTCAGTCTGTCACCTCATTAAACGATTTTTTACAAGACACTCATACGCATTCATTTTTTCGCACACCAGGACGAGGCAGCCATTCAGTAAGAAATGAATATAACTTATATATATAATGGCGATCAGTGGTAAAAATCAGGTTTGGGTGACGTATGCAAATTAAACTGCGCCAACTTACATACTGTGCAACGGGCTTTTAATATTCCAGTGGAAACCATTTTTGGTATTGTTCATCAAACCTGTTTTATAAATTACAAAATAAGGAGGGCCTGACGTTTCGATCCTAGCAGAATCTTTCTCGGAAATGTAATTTCAGGAAGTATGATTTCGTAAACTGTAATTGTTGAATGGCATTGTATCAGACCTCAGAACCCTCTGAAATTTAAACTGCATGAAAACGACCGGAGGGCTTTCTAAACATGTACTACGTCATGCATGAGACAGTGGATGACATCAGATCTACATTTTGAAGTCCTTTAGATTAGTTGTCTCTTCCATGTCAGCTGGTATGGGAGATTCCACTTCCATTCTGGTATTATGTGTTGATTAAAAGAGAACTCCTTGCAATCTTTGTTGACTATAAGTCTTTTAAAATTGTTTGGATGAACATTCCTGGATTTTCAAATGTGAGATATTTCCTCCTTTGCGACTATTTTTGGAATTCGTATGGGTTTCAAGCCTCCATTTTAATTTTCCCCCAAATCTGGCGTAAAATGTTAAAGGACATGTATGTTGTATCACGAATATGGAATTCTTTAGTTTCGTTTTATTCTTTCATTGACGCTTTCAAGTTCCAAAAATGAAGGGTCATCCTCACTGTCTATTTCAATATGGCCAACCATGTTTAAGGTCACCCGATACAGGTTCGTAAGTGTGACGTACATTCAACCATGAAACCGGAAGTTAACGCGCAACTCCAGCGTTCGTCCAATAAGAGCTGGTAATCAGTGGTGCGCGTATAATTGCCGTTTTCCAATATTCAACTTCTCCGTCTCAGCCTTCGTTCCCAAAACCAATCCCCGATTGTGGGCCTGAAGCGTTTAAATTACATTGGATTACTGTAATTTTTGGCTTTCTTGCATCTTGTTTGATGTTCTGTGGCGCTATTCGACTGGTTACTGCGTTTACAGCTTAAACGTAAGTAAAAAAAGAAAAAAAGTTGAAGCCTGAGATGGAGCCGAAGTTGAGTATTGGAAAACAGCCAATGACGAAGTTAACCGGAGTAATCCGAAGAGCATGCGCATGTATTGCGCAGCCACAAACCTGGTAGCAAATTTCGCTCTGCGTCGCCCAGTGCACAAACAGGGTTGCTTGGTTATGGGAAGGGCTGATGGCTTTGCACTATGATTGGCTATTTTTTGTACTTTTTGAACTAATAAAGTGTCGTGAGAATATTTTTGGCAATGAGGAAGAAAAAGAACAAAATATCGAATTAATAACCCCCACACTGAGCGAGCTGTCGCGCCTGGCAGAAATTTGCCCACAGTGCTCTGCGCGTTGTTAGCTGTGACCCAGCGTGAGGTATTTCGTTCACTGAAATCTGTGCAAGGCCATCAGCCACCTCCTCCCCCCCCCCCACGGCCCCAGCATCCTGTTCAGGCGCAGGGCTAGGGCGGCGAGCGAAGTAGCAAATGCCAATCCAAGTGAGCGATCCCACAGGACACTGTCGTCGAGGGTGGCATTTTTGGGGAGGCACCCATTTTTACAATGGGGCACTGGAATCAAAATAAGCAGCGACATGTGCAATGTACATGTACATTGTACGTAGGCTGTGTAGCCTATACTTAAATTTATGGAGGGGGTGGCGCCCAGTGAGGTACGGGGTTTACGCCGCGTGTTTCCAGTCCCTCTACCATTACGCCACATAGATTACCAGCCGTTTGAGGGACAAATATGTGGGATGAAATTTAAAAACAAAAATGATATTAGGGATATGTCACAGAAAGCAACAACCCTAGCCCCCCCCCAGCCCCATGCTCATGATGATGGCGCTGTTTATTGCAGAATCACCGCTTGATCACAACACCGCCCAATCCACAAAATCGGTGAAGGAGTCATCGCAAACATGAAAAAGAAACCCGAGAGGGAAATGCAAGGATTGGTAGCTGGCACATACATGTACATGTGTACATTCCAGAAATGTTGACCTGACCCCAGAGCAGGGGTCTGACTGAACGGTGTCGGTGTCGAACAATCTCTTGAATGGGAGCTCTCGAATGAATTCGTACGTTTGTAAAAGAAATTAAAATAATTTTAATGTAAAATTTCTAAAATAAGTAAAACATCTTCTAGTGGCTACCTGTTGGTTTTTACCTTAATTTAATACACAACTCCTAAAATTAGGTTGAGTTGTTCACGACAGTATTGAATTTACAAAACTTGAGATAACCGTGAATAACTCATAATTGACAGTTCGTGTTACCTTGCGTGTTATTATCTTTTGTTTGGTGATTAATTGAAAAAAAAATCAAAATCTAGTAGCATTTAATGATATCTTCCACGATTGCCCAATTACCTTCGTCCCAATTACAGATTTCTGCTGAAACCGTCCCCGCTAAATCGATCGTTCCTTTGTCTGTTCCGGGCGTTAACCTATGCCTCTACCTACCCCGCTGCAGTTGCAACACCATGGCGAAGAGAGGAGCATGGAGGAAGGTTTGTGTCCTTCCTCCGTGAGAGGAGTGATGGCGCAGACCTGTCCGTATCGGAGAAGCGGTCACTGTAATTCTATCTCGTGGTCAACACCCGTTGGTGCTTTCTTCAAGTCCTACTTCAGTGGTCCGGAATAGCAGCTACACAAGTGCAACGTGAACCACTCTCCCATTGCAGATGACGCCAGTGCCTGTCAGAGACGACCACGCTGCCTTGAAATTTTATCCTGGTCGAAGTGCAACCCAAAGAAATCTCAGGCGTGTTTATTGTCCGTCCAGCGCCCACACTTCACTGGGACGATGTGGCCTTATATTTTATGTTTGACGTAGATAGAGAGGAAGAGAATTTTTTTCAAAAATGATGGTTGAGAGTAGGGTAACATTTAAACCCAATGCAGGAGAGAAAAAAACACGACTCCGCCTGTATCAAAGCATCCTAGTTTTTGCCCGGCCATTATGCTGCTTCCTATATTTCATTTAAAAATAAAGAAACAAAAAACCGACAGTGTAAACATGTTTTGAACTTTTGAATGGCGTATTCTATGACTGCAAAGGCCCGTTCTGCACCCCCCCCCCCGCTTTTGACTGTAAATTCAGATGACAAATCCTTCAAAAGACAACGCCCTTTCGAAACAAATCCTGAGATGCTGATGATCGATTCCGAAGTCGCAATCTGAACGAGGCGAAAGGTGGCGCACTGTCAATACACGGTGCCCGCTTCAATGTAGGGTGTAGTCCACTAATTCAGGCCCCATTGAAAACAGTGTAAAATCAGCATTGTTCGGGGCCCAATGATATGCGTACCAACATCCCTGAGACATCTGAAACACACTCTAAATTATTGTATGCTCTATAGTATTTTACTATCTTTTCAATTTTCTGTGGGTTAACCGATTACATTTGGAGTTATTCCCTCAAAACAAAATTACCTACCTCCCAAAAAGTGATTTGTCCAAAGTCTGCTTGCAGCCATTTTTCAAGTGACAACCCTCAACTTTCTCGGGCAATTAGGACTATTTTTCAACAGTAATTTTTAGCCATTCTGCTCTCAGATGAAAGCCCAAAGACCCAGGGAGCAGATTCTGGCAAAGATGTACACAATCTCCCTTTTCCAAAAGATACTGTGGGGGCACTTTTGATGCTAATGAGCTGGCCAGAAATTCTCGCTTGAATTAGTGGACGGCACCCTGTAGCTCGTTGTGTACCATCATTCATCAGAGCTATAGCGCCAACTTTACTCTTGGGAACCAAAAATGTGTGTAGTGCAGCGTGCAGCTATTGTGTTACTAACTGTCCATGTGCCCTGATGTATAATCCACCATTTTGGTTCCAAAGATTGAGACATTCATGTCGCAACAAAGTAAAAAAAACTTTGCTATCATTACTACTATACCACCCTCTCTGGACATGTCCGAGTCCACTGTGGCCAGCGTACACTGTCTATCCGGAAAGTGACCGCGACCGTTTCTTATCATAGGGTTGCATTTAGGTGTAAGTCGAGTATTCCAATGTGCATGAACGCTCCACCACTAACTTTCAGATGCTCAGGGCAATGGTACACTGGTGTAACTTTCTAGAAACACTTGGTTACAGAACTGCAAGTCACAGCTCACGCGGAGTTTCCTTGCAGTTCCGTAAAGTAAGGGGCACCGAAAGCCGTAAAACGTACGGCTCGTACAAAGGGTTGTGTCCAAACAATGGGGGGGGGCCGGGGGAGGCACCCCCCCAGTTAGACCACTGGCTAATAGGAACCAGCAATTCCTTTGAGCTCTCATTGGACAAATTTAGTTAAAGTAGTCCTTTTATAACTGAGGGTCACCATGCGTTTCACGTTTCAACAATATTCACGGGAAACTTGGAATACTGAGATATTGCAAAAAAGTTTTTCCAATATTAAAGCATCGCGGGAAACGCCTTTCCCTGATGTGTATCTCAGATAAGACGTCATCCTGAGGTAAGATATTCGGCATAGCACCCTGACAGAGAGATTAGATAGACAGTCACTTATCGGCCCAGGCATAATTTGTGGAGAAGTTTACGCGTTGGAAAACCTGTGGGTGATTTACTATACCAAAGGCTGGTTCCTTCATCAGGCGATTTTGACGTCATGGTATATTTGCAGCGAAATTCGCTTGAGTTGATGTCTTCAACTTCTGCGAATTCGTAGCACACATGTGCATATGCCACTTTTTCGCGTTCATGTTTGCGCCAAATTTGAACAAGTCTTTAATACACGTGGAGCGTGCATTTTGTGTGTACGCGTAATGACGCACCTGGCAACGACCCGTGGTGTTGTGTCAAATGAAAACCATGACGATTCAAAGGAATTGCGTTGTATCCAGAAAAAAATATTTTCCTTCCCATACTCAATTTCCAGACGGGTAAAAATTTAAACGTTCGAAATGTTGGCCTGGGAGATAAAGAACAAAACCAGCCTAATTTAACCTGGACCCAGTCTAGATATGCTATCGCAAATACGTCGATCACATAACGTTGACACAAGAATACGCAGTTAGGGCCTCAATGAACATGTTGCAAATTGGAGCTTATCAAGGAAACCCAGAGATCTTAGTGACAATCCCCTCAAACCACCTCAAGCCTGTCGAAACAAGAGATCCTTTCAAAGCCCTTGGGTCGTATGAATAAAAAGTAGCATTTGCTTGTACTACCATCATGATTTTTTGAAGCATTTACTCGTGGTTGTATGAATAATAACGAAGCAAACGCTTTTACTTTAGTGCAATTGCTAAAAAGTAGAAGTATTTCTTTTTACTCTTTAAGCTTGTGCTTGACAATAAGCAGTTGCTTCATTTTGTATGAATAAAAATGAGTCAGTTCTACAGAATTTGGAGTATTTACTTGACATTTTTCAAGACAGGGTCAGGGAAAGCTTGAAAACGACGAGCATTTACTAATATTCAAAATGGCAGCGTTCATGAATGTCATTCAAATGAAAAGCTATATGCCTTAAGGAGGGAATCCCAAGAAACCAGATGCAGACAGTTTTACCGATTTGTGAATGTCAGGGCAATTTTCTTCATCTAGGTTTTTGCGATCAAAATTACTGCCATCGTGCTTATCTGCCATGCTGAGGTCTCAAGACAGCACCGTGCTGCACTGTGTGTGTCTGGACGTGCAGACAATGGAAGCCCTATTGTGCAAAACCGTTCGGCTGTGAAGTCGGCCACTAGCAAAGCATTTGCTACAATTTGTACAGATGCTGAACAGAAGAAGAAACGTTTTATTCCTACAAATTCAAGCAATTGCTTATTCTTAATGCTTTTACTTCTCAGTAAATGCTTCTGCTGTTTGCTTGAACTTCACAGCATTTGGTTTTTACTCATACGACCCCTTGTGTGGCTTTCAGGCTTCAAGAGGAACCATGGATGTGATTTACGCCTCTCGATATCTTCATGAGAAACCTTCAAGCAAAACTGATTGGTCACAGCAAAGCGAGCACCCCCACCCATTAATTTTACAAAACCGCAAAGAAAACAAACCAACAAAACTCCTCCGTTCACACTTTCATATTTAGGAGAGAAAGAAAAAAAATGACATATACAAACAAAACCGACTCTAGTGAAGGAAGTATTATCAACGAACAAACCAAACCAAAACAATGAAGACAAACAACACAACAAAACAGACATGTTAAGATGCAAGAAACAATTAAGGAACCAAACCGAGCAAACCACCATTCCAAAGTTCGTATTTTATTTTCAATGACATGTTTCTATCATATTATCATGCAAAAGCAAGTAACCCCCTTATGCTCAAGAACACATTTCGGCCGGCCTCGTAATGATGCTTCTCATTATGAGTCTGGGTATTTCTGATGAGAATTCTGAAAATTTCTGGGTATTTGAGGAAAATTCTGGAAACTTTTTTTTCCTAGCAAAAATACACAGCTGTACTCTGTACAGAGAGCTAAAACTTCACATAGCTCAACAAGGAATACCCAAGGAAACACTGTAAATAAATTTTCCGCTTTAACCAAGCGATGTTGCTTAAAACGATGTACGTAAAGTACATACACTTACGTCACAAAAACAGAAGGTCAAGGTTATTCACACCAACTAAATAAATAAATAAATATATGAATCTGTTTCTTTGAAGACTTACAGTTGGCTGTCAAGGGTGCAGTTAAAAGTGTGTTCACGATGCAATGACAGGCAGCTTTTGTACAACACAAGAGCACAGATCAGTCTATGTAAAGCCGAAGTGTGTCCAGCGGCGTAAATCCGGGGGGGGGGATATATCCCCCTACTTTTTGAGGTGGGGGTGATGGGCTATTGAATCACCCCATACAGACACACAGATACACACATTTTTGTAGTAAGCAAAACATTAAAGTGGACTGTAAAGAATTTTCCAGACTTCCTAATGACTAATATGCATTGAATACTGCTCAAAACATAAAAAAATTGAATCAATTTAACAAATGTGTATGGAAAACCAATGGGTTTGCGGTGAACCTTGCTGAGTTTGTGACCAAGGTTTAAATTCCAGCCAAGTCTTCAATGAACAGTGTCTGACTTCTATTTTTTCCCACTAAAAAACCTCTGTAACTCTGCTTTTATGTAACTAGGACCAATTAGGCAGGAGTGAAATGTTCTTACAGGCTATCAATGACCAGATACCCCTCCAAACACACCTCCAAATCACTGCACACCAGACCCCCTTTAATGTTGCCTGTTTATCCTTTGGGTAATGCTAGAATCATCTCAGGAAGCAGGCTGCAAGCAGCTATCCCGCACCTGACCCCGAGGAGTGCAATGTGTTGACTAGAACTTCACACACTTCATACGCCCACCGTCTCATGAATGAATCATCCCTTCCTAAGACTGCCCGCATTCTCTGCATAGTCAATGTGGATGGGAGACTGGATATGTGTTAAATAGCTGCCTGCCAAGGAGACGCTTAGCCCCTATCAATGAGCCATCCAAAAAGGTCACGCTGATTGTCATTCCTGTTATTTCAAGCTCTGAAATCTTATTTTTTTCCCTTGCTGACTGAAATGGCCACATGCCACCAGGATTCTACTTAAACAAAATCCATGCAGTATTTAAAACTGACATACAAATCCCTCCAAGCGAACAAGCTCAAAATGGATCTGATTGCTGGTAAAACTGTTTCCTTATTTATTTCCGAATATACATGTATATTGCCTCTGAAGTGAAATAAGTTGATGAGTTCTAAAGTTTACAAAGAAAACAAGACACATAAATGGTACTAGGCTTTCAATGTGTCTTGATTGATAAATCATCTATTACATCAACAGTTCCAATGTCACCCCGTGCTACTAGATATTCTTTGACACATGCAAGTGCATTTCTTCAGAGCGAGAGGCATTTGGTCATCGTATTGAACATTTCAAAAACCCCCTTTCGGCTAGATTAAAATTCTGACCAGGGGAGATGGGGGTGGCGGAGGTCACAGATGGGGCCTGTGTTTTTTCCCGCCTCCCCTCGTCCACAGCACCACATGGATTGGCCAAGGCGATCTAGACATCAAAGTCCACATCGTCATAACTTATACATGCACTTTGACAGCCGTCCCATATTTGCAAGAGTATCACGTGTGATATTTTCGGAGGAAGTTTGTCTTGCTGCATTTTTCATTTCCTCTGTGGGAAAAAAAGGTGTTTTGAGTGTTCAAGTAAAACGAAGGCGGCCTGTGTAAATATTAATGCGCTATGCTTGGTACAGGGGAGTCAGTCTGCCAGTTGGTAATGCTCGATCCATAGGGAATGAGAATATTTGTACAAACAGCATTGCTCATTCATTCAAATAAGGGGAAATAATACAAATGTAACAATGATAACAATCCGCTCCGAGCGGAACGAAATATGAGGGCATATTTTTTTGGTACTCACCCCATAGGCGCGCCATGAGGTGCGCAAGTATATGCGCGTTTGACATGGGGCACGCTAAGTACCTGTAAGTGATTTAGTTTGGCTTGTATAGTCTTTGCGTACATGCAGAACGTGTGCAAGAACCCACTTGTAAGCACCTGTCTTTCTTTCGCCGACTGGGGGTGCCCTTCAGCTCGGGGCAGATAAGCGACAAGACTGATTATCAATTTTATTAACCAAAAGAACAACCTGTAACAATGCAATCAACAGCATAAAGAGGAATCAAAAATAAATTATGACATCATGATCCCAACAGCTTCTTTTAGAAGACCTAACATATAAGACAAAATGCTCTGCTCTTATCCTGTTTAACAGGCTCTGGTATGCTGAAAATGGCTCTAGTTCATAAGGTTGTAGTCATTAGTGACATGGTGGTGGCATGTACAGGCCAACGGTCTCTTAGTCTACATTCACAGTGGCATCAATCGCTGGGAAATTTTCATAGAATCCCTGCAGGGGGAAAAAGATTCAAAATAATTTTTCATCAGTAGGGAACTTATTTAAGTATTTGAAAAATAAACCAAGCATTAGTTGTACTTGATGATGCATTGAGCACCTGAAAATGAATACAGTACAGAGCAATAACCTATGTAAAAAAAGGAGTGAAGACTTTATTACAAAAAGAAAAAATGCTGTAACAATATGTGGTGACGTACTGTTTTTCTTCCATGCATGTTGTGGCCAGCCTGAGAAAAGACTACTTTAGACTGTAGATTTAGGTCCTTTAACCACTCCCTGCCAGGGATTGGGGATTGGGGATTCCGGATCCAGGTCTCCAAACTTGGACAAAAGGAAAACGGCCTTGTAACAAAAGACCGTAATAGGAACAAAAGACCAGGTTGCTGGGCATTACGACATTTTTTCACTCTCAAAAGTGGAGATAATCCAGCCTTGTTTTGAAACAGTACACCACAGTTTGGGGCACTTAGAGGGAGCGGATTACCACCGGGGACAAAAGCGCTCTACCACCGCAGTGATGAGCCACACAGCACCGCTGCACGCTAATCTAGCCCCTATTGAAAAGAGGTCAGCAGTGCACTGAGCCAGGTTCGTGAACAAAAGACAGTTATACAACACCGCACAATCTGGGCTCTTTTTACAAGGCTGCAGGCCTGGCTGAAATACTCAGGTGTCAATAAATTTTGTCTGTCAGGCTAGATAGGACACCAGACAGTCATTTACTTGTTTGTAAGTGTCCAGTAAATGAAGATAGGAATTTTTAAGGAATTTTGAAAACAGAAAAAAAATGATAAATATCCCGGCCCAGCATCATCAACATTGATAACTGCCCCGGCAGGGAGTGGTTATAGACACTCTTGATTAGCCCCAGTGCTGCTCTTTGACAGACTTGGACCCAATGTTTTAGGTCTAAAGCCAAAAGACTTGAGGACTCAATCATTGCCAACTATTAATGCTCTATTAATGTACTTATTGTTTGGTAACATGCTTTACTGTTAGTAGCTTTCATGTAGGTCTGATTTCTTGTAAAGCATTAAAAGATTTCTGGCAAGCTAAAACTCTAGGTTAAAAATAATGGATAACATTGTGTCACTATAATCACTTCTTTTGTTCATGTTGCCAATTACTGGTAATAAATTGGATGTAATTTTGCACTGTGCATTCAATGTATGTCCATTTATTATCTATGCCATTTTTAAGAATTATATGCTAATATTTGGTTTAATAAAGGACTTGGACTTTGATTTTTCGAAT